AATGTTTGTTAGTCACTTACTTTAAATACTTAACCTGTACTAAAATAAAGAGATGTGGTATGATTGCCAATGAGATAACAGTATAGAAACTATCCGCCAGAGTCCAAATGTCTGTTAGCAGTTAAATTATAAGTCACTTTACAGACATCAACAATGAATACATTTCATTGTTATCAGGCAGATGAGGAAAAAGAGTAATGATAGCTTTTTAGCTTACTACATGTACAAGAGATTATAAGAAATATAATAATATAAATAAGGAAATAATAGAGACAAAAAAGACAGGACTTAGCCACTGGACTATATGTAAAGTGTTCCCTTACTAATCCTTAAAGGAGCTGCTGTATACTTAGAAAAAAGGATGTTGAGGACTTGGCCACATCAATCAGCATTTTTAGACACTACATTATGGTCAATTGCAATCTGCCCTATTTGCTCCAACCTCTAATGAGTATTAAAATTAATACCTTGTGTGGGAATTAAACCCATGTATGTTCATTTACTCTATTGTTCTCTATGTACATACATGTACATGTATATGAAATATATCAAATGCAAAAAAATGCTGGAATGTAAATATGGTAATTTTCATCATGTACATTATTACAGCCTCTTTTTTAAGGACCTAGTAAAGGAGGTCCCTGGACCTAGCTTGACCTATTTCTTAGGCAAGGTGTATTATATAACTCTTGAAAGTAGTTAAATGCAATTGTAAAATTAATTTTATCTGCTGTTAAACAATAATAACACGATAATGGTTATTTCTAAGTATTTAGTAACAACAGCGTGCAATTTAGGTAAACAAACATCAATAATCTACCACGTGTTTGTCTGCTGTGCTTGAATATTCAAAACGACCCATCGGGTTTATTTACACGAATTTTTGCTAAAGCAGACAGTTAAACATGTCTGTTTACCTAATAAGTACTATAAAAAATGCATTTGCTGTTATGACTTGTGTATGCATGGGAATATAATGAACATAACATTGATTATTTACCGTAAATATTGAATACACATCATTCCTGAGCTATACACACAAAACACATGGCACTTTTGTAACGATGGATGGTAACGTATAGCCACTTTATAACAGTAAATCCCATTGGATAAGCTACCCTACACAGTACATAATATGCAAATTAATGGTTGGATACGAATTTGTGTCAGCTCTCAAATCGATGGAAAAATGTAAACATTGGAATCCGCCATTTTGACATAGGAAACAAACTAATTTTGAATCTTGGATTAAAGGACATTGCGCACATTGCCAGCGTATCATGCATAACCAGTCATGTGCAAATATATCTTTTAATTAGTTTTATACACTTACTTTTCTATGTTTTAGTTACTTTAATGTTTTAATTTAATACAGAACGGAACATCGTTCTCAAAGACGCCGTAGAAAAAATTATAGGTGGCGCTGTTTGTGGGCGTAAACATTTTACATACGGGTACTTTTTTGTCGACAAATTGACCTCTATCTGTCAGATTCAGGCGTTTGCCGTTCAACTGTTCCACGGAGGTTACATTTCGATGATTTCATCATTTATAAAGCATAATATGTGTATCTGAAGATAGAAGTTGTACTAAAATTTAATGTTGACACCGATATCGATCTGTTGGATGTAGAATTTATTTTCAAAATTGGTGTTTGTTTAGAATAGACCATTCCACGGAGATTACATGCTTAACAAATCTCTGCAGTTTTCAACTTTTTTTAGTTTTTCAGACTGATATGATTTGGAATAAATGACCATTGTTATAAACAAAATTATTTATGGTAACCTTATAATCAAATTTAACTCATATCACACTCTATGTTGTGCTGAATATTTTGTCCTGCTTGATCTTTTATCCGTTAACGGAAATTACAAGCTACGGGTATATAATTCGAAGTCGTTAGTTTTGCTTTACAACGGTGGGACAAATTAACGTCATGAAATGGGCGCTTTAACGGAGAACCAGTGTTAAACGTGTGTAAATGTTTCTAATTTGTTGTGTTTGTATGGATATGTAACATAGAATGACAGCTTAAGGATACAATTTGGTTATGGTGTCAATTGATATATTCTGGTGATTTGACCGGTGCTTTTAGACGATTTAATTCGCCCAGTCTATACATGATCTTAATTAAAAGGGTGGAAATTACACGGATTATAGTAATTATAAATGTTTTTTCTGCTTTAATGTATCGTTAGATTTCATTTAAGTGATGCTTAATATATATTTTAATTGACCTTTGAATTCTCTGTTCAGGAATTCGTTCATCATATCCATTTTTATGTTGCTAATTTGTCCTCCTCTATAATTCACTGTTCTGTTCCATATAAGGTCCTGTCTCAAACGGTCTGGAAGCCAGCCACTTACACCTTAAAAAACCTTATTGCACAAAACTTACACACAAGACGACGGGCGTATTATGCGCTCATGGCGCAGCTGTTTGTTAGATAATGTTCAACAGTTATAAAAAAAAACCCGATTTTGAATAATCATATGCTGATATAGTGTAAAACAACTTACAATTTCCAGGGTTTTTTTTATGCCCCCGCCGTAGCGGAGGGGGCTTTAATTTTTTCCCTTGTCCGTCTGTACGTACGTACGTACGTACGTCCCAAAGTTGGTTTCCGTTCTCTAACTTTAGTTTGCCTCAACCAAATGTGTTAACTTATATACAATGCTTATTACCACAAAACACAGATCAAGTTTTAATTTTGGTGGTGTCACTTTAACCGTTCTAGAGTTATGCCCCTTTACAAATGGAAAAATTGCTGATTTTTTAGTTTCCGTTCTCTAACTTAAGTTAGCCTCAACTAAATGTTATGAAACTTTCACACAATGCTTTTTACCACAAAACACAGATCAAGTTTGAATTTTGGTGGCGTCACTTTAACCGTTCTAGAGTTATGCCCCTTTACAAATGGAAAAATTGCTGAATTTTTCGTTTCTGTTCTCTAACTTAAGTTTGCCTCAACCAAATTTTATGAAACTTATACACAATACTTATTAGTATCAGATCAAGTACAAATTTGGGTAGCGTCACTTTTACCGTTCTTCAGTTATGTCCCTTTATAACTTTATATGATATGCAAGTGGGGGCACCAACTGTGTCCCATGGACACATTCCCCATTTATTTATATATGAGTGATTACAGGTGAGGAATTCATGCAGTCTCCTTAGATTCTCTAGTGAATTTACAGAAAAAGAAGAAGACAACCAACAGCAAAAAGAATTGCCAAGTCTAGTCAGACCAGCAGAAAAGAGTACAAGTAAGTGTTGATGTGCACAGGATATTTTATTGTCCATTCTAAGAAGTCATTTAAAATTTATGCCTTATAAGACCAAATGAATTATACTGGAGTTTAATTATACAATTTGATTGGCTACCTTGATAGGGTATATGGGCACTCTTCTTACCTCCTTTATTACATTTCTAGAAATACAATTGGTTAAAAGTATCTGTATGGAGGCCTTTTATATTTCATATGGGGTTAGAAGGTCGGGCCTAATTTATTTCAAATCACAGCTAGTAGTGGTGTTATGTCCCTTTATAAAAACAACATGGTGTTGAGGGATTATCAGAAAGATTTCAATTAAGAATTGAATACTTTTTTTGTAAATTTATACGGGTGTAAAAGTGTTGACCGAAGTACATTTTGTTTGAAGTGCAGAAGCATGGCATTCTAAAAATGTATACACGATCAACACTTTTACAACCCTATAAAATTACTCAAACAAGTATTCAACACTTATTATTACTTTTTATGATAGGATCACGATAACATAATTTCTTTCAAGTTTTTCTTTTATTGACCAGCGGTGAAAGCTTGTGTTATCATGAATGTTACATTTCATTTGGAAATGAATGTTGATTTCAGAATGACCTGAGATTGCCAATTAAAATAACGTATTATAATGAAATATACATGTAATGTAATTATCAAGACAAAGAAATTGTAGATGAACGATTGAAATAAATTCATAAATAGATATAACAAGATGTGGTATGAGTGCAAATGAGAAACTATCCATTCAAGTCGCAATTTGTAAAAGTAAACCATTATAGGTCAATTAAAGTACGGTCTTCAACACGAAGCTTTGACTCACACCGAACAGCAAGCTATAAATGGCCCCAAAAAATGACTAGTGTAAAATCATTCAAACTGGAAAACCAACGGTCTAATCTATATAAAAAATGAGAAACGAGAAACCTTTATGAACCACATCCACAAACGACAACCACTAAACATCAGGTTCCTGACTAAGGACAGGTGCAAACAGCAATTTAAACGTTTCAATAGGTACCGACCTTCACCTGATACAACAGCGTAATTCACAACATAGAAATAGACACTAAAAATATCAAGTGAAATGGCTTTACTCAAACAAAAGACATGTGAACACAAACAAGTGAATATACACTGAAAGAATAAACTTGATCTATGACACAATGTTATACAAAATCAATAAACTAAGGGTTGAGATAATAAACAATTTCAGAAAGTCTGAATTTAGTCAACCATAACCTTGAACAAAATGCGGCCATTTAACGATGTAAACCTTGAACAAAATGCCGCCAAATAGAATAATTTACACGGGTAAATGAAATATTTTGTACAGTAATGGAAAACGGAAATAATTTTTACATATAAATAATTTTGTTGTTCATAGTACAAGAACACATTTACAGCTTACATTTTTTTTATTTTTGGCATTTGTTTTTGTCAAGGCCACTAGTATAAATACCAAATATTAAGATAGTAGGTAAAATGAATTTGTTACACAGTGTGCTAGTGACTTAATACAATACAGATAGATATTGAATAAGATAATTTATATTTAAAGTGTATCCTGATACCATTTACATAATATAACACTTCAATTACAATTCAATACATCTACAATTGTATTTTATATCAGTTAGCCTTAAAAAGAGGTTTATGTATGAAACAAACAGTAACAATATTTTGACAACCATATTAATAATACAAACAATGTGTTGGCTAGAAACTTAGGGTGTGGAAATATACTAAGGCAAATGCGTATTCCAGAGAAAGTTTATTAATCTTTATTATATCCAGTGAACACAGTAAACACAGTGATATATTATAATAAAGTTCAATACATCATAACGTTCCATATTTAATTCCTCAATACGAATACGTTCCATACAAATACGTCATACTCTAAATACGGTAAATACGATTTACTGAAAAGAAAACAGAAAAATACTGTCATTCACTTGAATAATAAAAGTTCAAAACATGCAAAATACATGTTATCCAGAGAACAATTAACAAATGTATATATACCAAAAATTGTAAACATCTTGTTTTACCCAGTGAAAATACATAAAAACAATATTAACCACAAATCAATGAAACATCATTGACACAAAAATCTAATTATCGATTCGCACTTTACAACCTGTGAAATATCTATTTATAGAAATACAACATGCGTCTGAGAGGACTTTGACAATTATATTCACTGAATAAAGTTCTTAAATTATGCAATACAACTCAGACAAGTTACGGAAGGTTTATACAATAATTTCAATACAAAAAACTCACCAAATTAGAAATATTTCCACAAAATTTCAACACAGATTTTGTCAAGTTATTGGCGTCATTTTCATTCGGAACTCTCTAATAATCACTGTACATGAATAGTGAATCGACAAAAAATATGTTTATGAAATTGACATTACATACCAGCTCCCTAATTGTATAGCCAGTGCGGAACAATTACACCTAAATCAGCAATAAAAAATATGCATCTCAACAAAATAAGCAAAATTATGTAACAATAGTGTTCATAACGTTTGAGTTCACTTTCTACAACTAACTAAAGTTCTTGGACTAATATTAGATTGACAAGATAAATGTTAATCAAGTTCTAAAAGAGTACACAATTTATCTACCGGACGAGTAAGTACATTGTTTCCGATCTTTACTTTCACTTGACGCACGAGTCCGTTGCGGTCTGGAATTATTTCATTAATCCGCCCCATGGGCCATGAATTTCTCGGAGCATTTGAGTCAACCACAATCACAATGTCCCCAACCATTAAATTTCTCCTCTGTTTATGCCATTTCTGACGTTCTTGTAACATGGGAAGGTACTCTCGAACCCAACGACTCCAGAATAGATTTGCAATGTACTGAATTTGTCTCCATTTTCGACGGCAATAATTGTCTGTTTTACTGAATAGTCCAGGAGGTAAGTAAGCTTTGCGTTTCATAAGCAACAGATGATTTGGCGTCAGCGCTTCCAAATCACTTGGGTCATCTGAATTCATCGTAATCGGTCTACTATTGAGAGTTGATTCTATCTCACAAAAAACTGTATTCAGACCGTCATCGTCTAAAACTTGTTCTCTAATAACACTATTCATTGTCTTGCGTACACTTCTGATCAACCTCTCCCATACACCTCCGAAATGCGAACCTGCCGGAGGATTAAACTGCCAATCTATGTTCTTTTGTAGCATCGCATTCTCAATCTGATTCAAATTCCATTCACTTAATGCGCTCTTAAGTTCGCGCTCTGCGCCAACGAAGTTCGTGCCGTTGTCAGATCTGATCTTTTCTACTTGACCACGACGAGCAATGAATCGTCGTAAAACGTTAATATATGAACTAGTATCTAAAGATGCAGCTACCTCCAAGTGAATAGCTCTACTAGACAGGCAAGTAAAAATCGCACCATAGCGTTTGATACGACATCTACGTTGTTTTACTTCGAAAGGACCAAAATAATCTACTCCTACTCTCGAGAAAGGTGGTTCATCCGGCGTAATACGATCTGATGGCAAATTAGCCATCTTTTGTTCACCTACGGGCGCACTTAAGCGACGACACACAACACATTTTGATATCAATTTTCGCACAGCTGAGGGTGCATTTATCAACCAATAAGTTTCACGAAGGTGAGCTAGCAAATGATTTCTACCACTGTGTTGTAAATCAATGTGTATTTGTCTAAGAATCAATTCAGAGATGTGGTGACCCTTTGGTAATATAATCGGATGTTTACAGTTTTCCGGCATTTTTGACTCTATTAAACGTCCTCCTACACGTAAAAGATCGCCATCTAAAACTGGGTCGAGTTTCCGGATATTACTTGTAGCCTTGACTGTTCGGTTATTGGAAAGAGTGTTAATCTCATCAGTGAATTCGTGTCTCTGCACATAAACTAGAATTGAATGTTCGGCGTCTTTTAAATCCTGAAATGATATTCGTTTAGTACAATCTTTCGAATCCGATTCTTTAACGAGTGTCATTTTGTTATCTTGTTTCTTATTACTGACACGTCTAAGTAACTCCTTACGAACTTTAAGTATCCACGCTACACTTCGCTTTAACGACATCCAAGATGAGTAATACGCGATAAGTTTCTCGACTCCCAAAGAATTGTCATCTGGAATTTCGGTTTTAATGATTGTTCGCACAGTTGCTTGTTTAACTTCAGGGTCGTTTGCACATATTGTCTCGTGATTTTCTGACGATGGCTTTGGCCAAAAGTCCTCATCTTTCCATAGAAAGTCAGGTGCAACCATCCAATTACGTTTTTTCATTTCAGAAGAAGTAAGACCCCTTGAAGCATGGTCTGCTGGATTATGCTTGGTGTTCACATAACGCCAATTATCGGTAAAAGAACCTTCATGAATTACAGCGAGTCTATTTGCTACAAAAGTCTGAAATCTAGCATCTTCATTCAAGATGAATCGTAGAACTGACATACTGTCCGTCCAAAATATAGACCGATCAATTGGTATTTCTAACTCATTTAACAACATTTTGTTCGTACGGACGGCCACAGTAGCAGCAGTTAGTTCAAGTCGTGGGACTGTTATCGTCTTCAGTGGTGTTACGCGTGCTTTTCCCATCACAAATGAACAATGAATTTCACCGAAAGTATTTTCTAAACGAAGATATGTAACAGTACCGTATCCGCTTTCGCTTGCGTCTGAGAAATGATGTAACTGAGCATTCTTTATTTCTCCATATTTTTCTGGTCGTAAGCACCTATCTACTTTGAAATCTGAAAGTTCATGTAAATCTTGGAACCATAACGAAAACAAAGATTCTAGTTTCGGTGGAATTGGGTCATCCCAATCCAGGCGAAGCCTACACAATTCTTGAAGTATCATCTTAGCACGAAGAACAAATGGTGCAAGAAATCCTAAGGGGTCGTAAACGCTACTAACCATCGACAAAATGCCTCTTCTAGTTTTAGGTTGTTCCTTTACTGAAATTTTGAAACGAAAAGTATCTGTTTCAGCGCACCATTGAATGCCCAATGCCCTATCGATGGGAAGTGTATCTTGATCCAAGTCTAAGTCCTTGATACCAACCGCCATATCCGAAATTGGTATTGATCGCATTACTTCCCTGTTATTACTGATCCATTTCGCGATCCTAAATCCACCACGACTCAAAAGAGACTGTAGATCTTGAACTAAGCACACCGCTTTACTAACGTTTTTTGTAGACTTGAGACAATCATCGACGTAGAAATTACGTAGCACAGTGTTTATTACTTCTTCATTAAACTGTCCGTTACAATCTTCGGTAGTTTTTCTAAGTGCAAAGTTCACGCAGCTAGGCGAAGATGTCGCACCAAATAGATGAACATTCATTTGATATTCTGTTGGTTTCTTTCGAGAGTCTCCACCTTGCCACCACAAAAATCGAAGATAATTCGCATCTTTAGACGGTACGCGCACCTGGTGAAACATGCTGTCTATATCGCCCATTATTGCGATTTCATCTTGTCTAAACCTTATCAAAGTTCCAATTAAAGTATTTGTCAGATTAGGACCCTGAAGTAATCGCTCGTTCAGGGATGTACCTTGAAATTTAGCCGCACAATCAAACACGACTCTTATTTTCTTCTTTCTAGGGTGGAAAACTCCATGATGAGGCAAAAACCACACGTCATTGTCTTTCTTCGCTAAGTCATCAATGGAAACCTCTGTAGCGAATCCATCGCCGATAACCTTGTTCATAAAGGTAACATACTCATCACGGAATGTTTCGTCTCTTTCAAAACGTCTAGAAAGTAGCATTAATCTCTGTTCCGCTTGTCGCCTGTTATTGGGCATTTTGTTATCCTTTGACTTGAACGGTAAATTCACGACGTAATGTCCGTCTTTTAACATAATTGACTCCGAAACAAGTTCTAGAAATCTACGGTCCTCCTTCGAAGGAGCAACAACATCGTCGATTGTTTTCTCATTGAAATCATGGTTGAAATGATTCCTAATTTGATCTTCCAGCGAAACACTTGTAGCGTCGATACGGTTACAAGAAGCGACCTTGCATGGCTTATCATCAGTAGACACGTTTAAAGGGCCATTGATTACCCAACCTAGCAAAGTTTCTACAGCAAATGGACCATTTCCTATACTTGGAACAACATTCCACGGTTCCATAGCTTTTGGTACATTGATTCCGATTAACAAACCAATGTGATCACTTTCGATCCTTTGTAATGGTATATCTCGTAAATGTGACCACTTCTGAATATTCTCAATAAAAACTATGTCATTACTAGTAACTGGTAGAGTTTCCTGCGAAAATACCGGTGGTAGACTAATTACATCATTACCGCACAAGTTGCTGATTTCCAAACCTGTGACCACATAGCAATCATGGACGGCACTTTGTCCCATAGTAACCAAACTGAGTTTCGTTTTCTTACCTTCTATATTAAGGCTACGAATAATGTTTTCTGTGCAGAAAGTTGCAGTACTGCCTGTATCAAGAAAAGCATACGTCTCAATGTAATTGTCACTGTTAATTGATTTTACCCTGACTGGCAATATCGGCAGCGCCTGGCGAAGGCTATTTCCAGCTCCCATAAACGTAGTAGAGTTCTTAACTTCCGGACACTGATCGCTTTCTGACTGCTGACTAGTTTGACTCTGATCTCGAGGTTCAACATGCAATATAGACGGATGTTCCTTTCGACATACTGTACAGGACGATTTCTGACGACATGACATTTTCTGGTGTCCGTACTTCAAACATGAGAAACAAACGCCCTTCGATTTAAGAAATGTATATCTATCTTTCAGTGACTGTTTTATGATTTTGTCACACTTGTTCAGAGAATGAGTTGCGTTTTCACAATAGATACACGGCTTAAAAAATGCATTTCTGTATCGAGCAGACGATGTTTCATTTTGCTGACCTACACTAGATGTACTTGCCTTGGGTTCAGGAGTTACAGTTACAGCTGTTTTAGATCCTTGAGATCTAGATTTCATGTTATTTTCTTGTAATCTTTTCACATTTTTTCCTATTTGTGTGTTTAAAACGTCTTTGCCGTAAACAGGATCGTTTGCCTTCTTAGCTTCCTTTTTCACAAATTCTACTAATTGACTGAATGTAACGATATTTTTGCGACTTTTTGTCTCGTATACTACATTCCTCCACTTTTCTTGCATATAAAATTGAAGTTTCTGTATCAAGAGTTTTAAATTTTCTGAATACTCTAACACTTTTGCCGCATCTACATAATTTACGGCGTACATGCACTCTTGCAAGAATATTGCAAAGTCATCTAGGGCTTTTGAGTTATCTGCCTTTATAAAGGGCCAGTTCATTGCACGCTGTACGTATGAATGTGCTATTATGTCGGGGTCGCCGTACCTGTCTTTGAACTCGTCCAAAGCAGCTGTATACCCTATTTTAGCGTCCAAGTGTGAGAAACCAAGAACTATTCTATGCGGTTCGCCGATTGTAAATTGTAGCAAGAAGTTAATTCGTTATTCGAAAGAATCAGTGTTTGTTTCAACACGTGCATTAAATTGTCTTATAAATCCCTTATAGTTCATAGGGCTGCCATCAAATTTCTGTATATCAGCCTTGGGCTTATTAAGCTCACGAGCAATTGAATATTGCGCATTGTAATCAATAATATTGTTCTTTGCTTCAACAGGAGGGGGTTTATCGTCATCTTGTTCACTTTGAAATGTTTTGCGTGTTCTTTTAGTTTCAAACGCTAACCGTTCCTTTTTTACTTCCGGAATGAATGCCGGAACGGTAGGGTTCAATAACGAATTTTCAGTATCTTTTTGTGAATTGTCGACTTTATCGCTCTGTTTATCTTTGACCATAATTTGCTCAAGTTGCTGGTCCTCTAACATGCTTCTTTCTAATTCTTCTATCACTCGTGTTTTTGCGTCAGTTACTTGTAACTCCGTTTTAATTTCAAGTGCCTCTTCTTTAAATCTTAACTTTAATTTTTCTTCTTCGATAAATTTCTTTTCTTCAAGAGACTTTTCACGTGCTAAAAGTTCAGCCTTCCGCTGCTCTTCTTTAAGTTTTGCCATGGATATTTGACTTGAAACGGAACTGCTTCTAGAACTCCCGGATCTAGAACTTCTATGAGATTTTACGGATCGAGCTGGCTTCTGACTGTTAACGGAAAACCACTGCTGTGCAGATTGTTTTGAAGAGATAAATTTATCATGTCTTTCTTGAAACCATGCATCGTCAAGTTGTTTTTCGCTAGGATTTTCAGTAAGCTTTTGATACTGATCATGAATATTTAATAGTTCCTCATATTCAGACAACCACTTAGAATATGTAGGTTTAACTTCATTTGGGTCTGTTGAACGTTGCATCAAAGTTTGTAAATCATTACTTGTAACAGTTAAAACCTTAATCAATCTTGATCGTTCAGCCTGTTTCAAAGTCAATGTATACTCTAGTCCCTTTTCAGTAAGTGTTCTCTCATGTTTTTCATCCACAATATCTTGTTTGTCATCCATCTTAGACTATAAAGAGTTCTAATTTGTAAATAATGTGTTGGCTAGAAACTTAGGGTGTGGAAATATACTAAGGCAAATGCGTATTCCAGAGAAAGTTTATTAATCTTTATTATATCCAGTGAACACAGTAAACACAGTGATATATTATAATAAAGTTCAATACATCATAACGTTCCATATTTAATTCCTCAATACGAATACGTTCCATACAAATACGTCATACTCTAAATACGGTAAATACGATTTACTGAAAAGAAAACAGAAAAATACTGTCATTCACTTGAATAATAAAAGTTCAAAACATGCAAAATACATGTTATCCAGAGAACAATTAACAAATGTATATATACCAAAAATTGTAAACATCTTGTTTTACCCAGTGAAAATACATAAAAACAATATTAACCACAAATCAATGAAACATCATTGACACAAAAATCTAATTATCGATTCGCACTTTACAACCTGTGAAATATCTATTTATAGAAATACAACATGCGTCTGAGAGGACTTTGACAATTATATTCACTGAATAAAGTTCTTAAATTATGCAATACAACTCAGACAAGTTACGGAAGGTTTATACAATAATTTCAATACAAAAAACTCACCAAATTAGAAATATTTCCACAAAATTTCAACACAGATTTTGTCAAGTTATTGGCGTCATTTTCATTCGGAACTCTCTAATAATCACTGTACATGAATAGTGAATCGACAAAAAATATGTTTATGAAATTGACATTACAAACAACAAAATAGATTTATAATCTTTCTGAAATCTGAGGTTATCATAATTTGTTAAAATCAACTTATGTTTCTTTATGTCATTGCACAAGTGGCAGTTTTTCATAAAAAGTAGATTTCTTATTTAAAAGTAGAATATGTGACATTTACATATTGATGTACTGGGAGATCATAAAAAGAGTTGTTTCCCCTAGTTCTCAGTATAAGTCATCAATTAAGTCAGAATAAATATTAAAATCTGTGTAAGTGTCTAGGGCTACATGTTTGGTTAAGTATATAGTAGAAAATTTCTTTATGGGTCAGACAAACCCTTCAACAGTTTGCCACAGACTGTGAAAAGCTGCATTTGTATAAAGGAATTCATTCAATTAGCTGTTTTATATTTCAGTATTCAGAGACTCCTACTCAAAATGTTTCAAATTAACAATGTTCCATAATAAATTTTTGAACTTAAAATAATAATAAATTTAATCTGCAAAGTATAGCTTTGATGTGCAGTAGGTAAGATAAATGCATTACACAGTATGCTAGTGACTTCATACATTGTATATGG